CTCGTTGTAGATGTAACTCGGATAGGCCCCGGTGTCCAGATTCTCGAGATTCAACTGACCCTTAGTGCTGATCTGAATGTCGGGCGTGCCCGGCAATTTTTCGAAGGGGGTCTGAAAGTGCACGCAGAAGCTGGATACGCCGCGACTGGCCATGCGACCCTCGTGCGTGATCAGCCAGTAGGCCAGATCGTTTTTCAACGTGGAGGCGGTAAAATTCTTCCAGCGATCGTTGGGGAACGGGAAGGTGAAGGCCCGCACGTTGATGTGGTCGTGCAGATTCTCGCCTACGGGCAGATTCTCCAGGCACTGGATCTTCAGCTTGGCCAGCTCGCGCTCCGGCCCGATGCCCGACAGCATGAGCAGTTTCGGCGAGTCTATCGAGCCCGCCGACAGTATCACCTCCTTCTTGGCGTACACCTTCTTGGTCTTTCCATCGGCGTCGATGTACTCGACCCCTTTGGCCACTTTGCTCGACGGATCGACGATGATTCGACTGGCTCGGCTCTTGGTCCTGATCCAGAGATTGTCGCGTCTGCCGCGAATCGGCCTGATGTAGGCACCGTTGGCCGACTGACGTCTGCCGTGAATGGTCGTGGTCAATAATCTCGAGTAGCCGATCGAATCGTCCGGATCGATGTAGTCGACCTCGCGCAGGCCCACCTCCTGCCAGGCACGCAGGAATATCTGCATGTTCTCGTCGTTCGGCAGATAGTCGACCGTCTGGTAGCCACCGACTCCGTGGATGTCCGGATTGTCCTCGACCACCTGAAACAATCAAAACTTTACCAAAGATCTGATGCAAACTCAAAAATTCAACTTACCTCTTTGACCCTCGTGTCGGCCAACTTTTTAAAGTAGGGCAAGAGATCGTCGTAGCTCCAGCCCGGATTGCCGTCCCGGGCCCAGCTGTCGTACTCGTGTCGCGAGCCCCGATGGTACCACATGCCGTTGACGGAGCTGCTGCCGCCCAAGACTTTGCCGCGTGGCAGGAAGCACGACTTGTCCTTGCTCTGGGCGCAGGCGTAGGGCTCGGCCTGGGTCCTGTAGTTCTGGTCGAGGCCGAAGCGCCACGAGTACGACATGAGGGCCGGGATGTCGCTGACCAGGGGCTCCTCGGGCCCGACTTCCAGCATCAGTACCTGAAGGCGCACACACACATTTTCACTTAAATGAAGATCAACTACTTGTCTAGTTCGTCGCATACCTTCCAGTGTGGAATTTCCGTGAGGCGATTGGCCAGTACGCAGCCGGCGCTGCCCCCGCCGACGATCACGAAATCGTACTCGTCGTCGGCGATCTGACGCTCGTTCTTGGTGAACTCTTCGTCCTGCGAGCGACCGATGTAGTCGACGAGCAGGGCCAAAAACGTCAAGATCTGAGCATTGGCGCAGCTATAAGTATCAGTGGTAGCTGGGCACTGTTGGCCGCTGGGGACGCTCGGCAGCAACATGATGATGTTGATGCGAGAGCCGTCGACAAAGTGATCCCGGAAAGAGGCTCGACTCGGCTGATAAATATGCTAATCTCTCTCTCGACGCGAGAGAGTGAGATAATTCGCACATTTATATATTATTTATATTATCGTTGCCGTTTTCTTTTGTTCTCTCTCCTCACGTGCGACTGTGCACGTTGTTTGTTTGATTATTATTTTATCCTGTTACGAATCTTGGCGTAATAATTAAATTAAGCCACGTCGGCTTATCGTTTATTATGGCGCAACGTCGTACGACTTTTCCTTTTAAACACATTGAGCTCTCTTTTATCGGTCAAGTTTGCGATTAATTATGAAATTGCAATTAATTATGAGTTTTAAAAAAGAAGACGCTTTGACACATAAGCACATCGTGCGTGTTAGGCCGCTGCTAGGCTGGGGTAGGTGTATATAAAATCGGCGTATAAAAGCTACAGAGCGAGAATGACGTGAGATTCTCGCACGAAAATCGAGAGACAAAGCCATGCTCTGTGCTGTTCGTTTATACATGTATGTGTGCATTTTTCGTACTCGCGGACCGTGAACTTAATTAAGGCGAGCGAGCGAGCGAGCGAGCAGAGGTCGTCGGCAAGCGCCTCGTTTTGATATTTTCGCTCTCTCTTTCTTTCTCTTTCACTCCCAAAGAGAGAGAGAGAATAGGACTTGAACGTGAAAAAGTGTTGAATGTATATCTCGAGGATGCGCGACGACGACGATGTCGAGACTGGATAATAAGGCTCGTGCACACACATACACACGCGTTTTATATTGTAATAATATATTAAACAGCTACTATACTACCCCGCGCTTTTATGGCTTATTTTTCTCGCCACGAAGCTTCGTATATTTGCAGGCTAGTGTATAATTGGAGCGTTTGACATTTTGAAAAAGCCGTTGTTTCAATGAGGAAAAAAAATATACGTATAATGGAAATTATCATCCCTGATAGAAATGCATATCGTGAATAATGGTCTAACGACCGAAAAAGTGTCCTTTTATAATAAGTCACTGTCAATTGGCTTGATTTTGGCGATTTTTGTATTACGATTGTGTTAAAAATTTTAGGCGCATTTTTAGTCTTTTTCAAAAAAATTTGGACCAGTTTTCATCCACATTAAACACGATAATACGATTTCGAGTCTTCACCGATAGATGGCGAGTACTTTTACCTGTAAATCTGCAAGTGAAAATGTAAACATAAGTGTATATAAGTCAGAGCAAGGTTCCATAAAGTGAGACCCGGTTAAAAATATTTCTAGTAAAAATTGGCAGTGTCAAAATATCTTATGAAATCAATATATTTTCTAAATTTAAATATAATTTAATCAGTCAATTAAAATACATGGTAATTTATGTAACTCATTATTTGAAAATTTACTATAAATTTCTTTCAAAGTTTCTTTATTTATTTTCTTCGCACTGTGCCTTGCATGTACAGTCGACCGAAGACACGTGAAAATATCACGATCAACTTTTATCCCCCAAAAAATACCCAAACACACGATATTACAAGCGTCGCATTGTTACAAAAATTCGAACGATATGATAAATTCATTCTGCTGAAATCGTGCAGTCACGCACAGTTGCGCGATATCTGCCAAAAAAATTACGCTCGAAAGAGAGAGAGAAAAAAGAATTGCCTCGCTCGAATTTCCAGCTCGTTAACGTTCGTCGAATGTAAATAAGAATATGCGCTTACTTAGCAGGAAAAAAATTGAGTGAGAGAGAGAAGTGCGCTTATCGCGTTGATAATCTTCGTACTACAGCGTTCGAGTATACTCCGGACACGATCGGAAAATTTCGACTCAAGCGCTGCACATGCAGCAACAGCAGCAGTAGCAGCAGAAGTCGAGGCACAGGCAGACAGTCAGGCCAGGCACGCGCGAGCGTAATTTACATCGGCCTTTTTCTTCCTCTAAAACTGCAGACTTTTGCCTTTTCATCGTATAGCTGCTGCTGCTTCTTCTTTACTTTTTTTTCTTTCTCGTACCCTTAAATCGCTTGTATACGAATCGTCTGTGCGAAAAAAGTGTACAGCCAGAGCTCGCGCAATATCACGATATAATTTATTGCTCGTTGAAATGGATGTTTACGTTCCCATGCGTAAATGCGTACGATTTATTATAATATTAACTCGAGCCGAGTTTTAATTTTCTAATTTGAATGAGGGGGGAAGGAAGGGCCTCGTCGCGCTATGCGAGAAAGATAAGGATCGCGGGACTCGCTTCCGATTTATATGTAATTTATTATAAAAAGGACGAAGCGCGAAGAAATCATCATTATCATCGTCATCATCATCATCGTCATCGTACACAATACCAAAGTTAATCGAGGCTCTTTTTCTCGCGAATCAGCAAAGTCAAATCACTCGTTCCGCCGTCGATTCATTAAAATTTCCCAAAAATCCGGTCGATCGTTCATCATCGCGAATAACGCGGGGGAGGCATGCGCTGGGGGAACGATCGCTGCCGTTGCGATCTTTTTCAATGCGCAATTAAGCCGAGCAGCAGCAGCGGCCACGTTCATGCGGCTGGCAAAATCGATGTGCGGGCATATTTCCTCGTTATCACGATTCTCTCTCTCTCTCTCTCTTTCGAGTGGTCGAGAGGAATTCAAGCACACGGTGTTATTAATAACGTCGCGTCCGCCTACTACATGGCTGGAGTTACTCTTGCACACACACAGCACAAATGCAATACGTGTGTGGATTCTTCGTAACGATAAATTCGAATTTCGCGCTTTTTCACGTGCGTCTGTTGTATATATTACGTATATGTATGTATAATCTCTCTCTCACTACACAACGACGACGATGAGCAGAAGCGCAGCTCTCGCACTTGTGGCTCCGCGAGTAATTTTATCCATATGGTCAGCGGCGGACGATTAGTTAATGTCACTGATTGGGCCTCCGCGTGTTTCACACACACAGATGATCATCGAGCAAGCGGAGAAACATGCGAAGCGCAAGAGGCAATCGCGGGTAAAGGAGAAAAATGACGAATTCAATTATATATATCAATGGCGGAACGAGGCGGCAATAAATTGCCCCGCGCACTACCAATGGGGTTTACTACTACCTGCATCTCGTATATAATATAATATATAAGGCGTCCGACACGAGCTCGGTTCTCTCTCTCTCCCCCGCATGATGCGGAAAACGATCGGTCGCCGCCGTGGCTTTGTGTCGAATCCGCAATAGCCGAGCTCGCGCTCGAGCCATGGTATAGGATAGGTAGGATATAGAAGTCGATAAGAAAACTCGTTTGTAAAGGTCGCGGGACCACGACGACGATGTCCGACCTCTTTCTTGTCTTTATAGCGAGAGGCTATGTGAGGCTATCGATCGCATATCGACTCCGTACTGTGAGTCTCGGCTCTTTCATCGCTTCTTTTTTGGCGGAGTACTCATACCTATACGGTCATTTCTAAGCGTAGGCGTATAAAATATTCTCACGTACATACATACGAATGTGTCAAAGTTTTGCGTCCCTCTAACGGCTACAAATTCTTTCTTTCTGTTTTAATGTAGGCAATCCTGTTCTACACGCCGCGCTGGCTGTGGAAGGGCTGGGAGGGCGGCAAGATACACGCTCTCATGATGGACCTCGACATCGGGCTATGCGGCGAGCCCGAGAAGCGCCAGAAGAAGAAGATGCTGCTCGACTATCTCATGGAGAATCTGACCCTGCACAACTGCTGGGCGTACAAGTATTATCTGTGCGAGATACTCGCCCTGCTCAACGTCGTAGGTGAGTAGTAACCATACACATTTACGCGAGTAATTATCGTAAATCACGACGATTTACTACTACCCCCTACTATTACTCCCTTTTTCCTCAGTTTTCCCACTATCCAATTCGCAGCTCTCTCCAACTTGTGTGTGTGTCTGTGGACGAGTGGTATAAAACGCGGCTGTAAAACGTATAGGATCGAGTCGAGAGGGGGGGTGCCGACAAGAGCCATTATCGGATATTCGACGAAAATCGCGAACGACAGACAGAGAACTTGGAGAGTTATAAACCCGAGTCATCGTCGTCGTCGTGCTGCAAGCCGTTACATATTGGCCGGTTGAATGAATTTTCACGCATTGACGAAGGTGGCGAAATGAATGAACGTCCACTCTTGTGCCTTTATAGTAGTAGTGGTGGTAGTAGTAGTGCATGGTCAGCACCAAGCACACATATTTCAAGTGACACAGACACAGAGACACATTCGGTCGGTATATGCGCGAGCTTTTTGGCAAACTTACAGCTGGCCCGCGAGCTTTTCGTCACTCGACACTCTGCGGTGACATTCTTCTCTCTGCTGTACATCGACGTCGCGTCTACGAGGCCCCCCCGCACACATACAACAGACACATGTATCATCGCTGCGATTCGCGACGCTCTCGCGAAAAAAAACAAAAATTCCCTAGAGCTCGAGAGCCCCGAACCGTATATACGGGTGGCTTTTGCGTCGCGGGTTGCACAATTTACGTATGTACATGCGTACACATAAGACACATATTTACGCGCGTAAATATAATCCTCTCGCAGTTGAAGAAATAGCTGATGCCTCTGAACTCGCGTGTAACTCTCGTGCATGCGCATGATGTAATTCCGCGCGAGCTCTCGGCAATTATCCGCGTTACTGTACGCGCACAAGTGTTTGGCGCGTATATTAACAATTTTGCATAGATCGCAAACTCACGACGACGACGATATTTCAACGACGTGTCTTTGCCGTATAGGTATGTAACTTCTCTCTCTCTCTCGAAAGGAGCTGCTGCTGCAGCTCTTAGACTGGCATGTGTACATGTGCGGTTTTAAGCCTCTCTCTAGTATGCATTCCGAAATTCTCGAAATATTCTCTCTACGCAACTCTCGACTCGTGCATCCTTGAGCAAATGATTTTCGCGTGATATACGGTGAAATTCTTGGACGTACATATGATATACACTAGAGAGCCTCGGTGTGGTTCGTAAGTACCGCACCGCAAATACAACAACAACAACAACAAAAATAATAATAATACCTTACGTTCCCAGCGCAAATGTTCATGATGAACAGCTTCTTCGACGGGGCCTTCCTGACCTTCGGCATCGACGTGCTGCGCTTCCTCGAGTCCGACCAGGAGGATAGGGTCGACCCGATGATCTACATATTCCCGCGCATGACCAAGTGCACCTTCTACAAGTACGGCGTGAGCGGCGAGGTCGAGCGCCACGACGCCGTCTGCATACTGCCCCTCAACGTCGTCAACGAGAAGATCTACGTCTTCCTCTGGTTCTGGTTCCTCATACTGGGCGCGCTCAGTCTGCTCGTCGTCATTTATCGGGTAATTATTGTTATTATCATCCTTGTAAGAGGCTTACTTTATAAACGCAATTTTTTAATCCTCGACGACGATGCTCGACGACCTGCGCGACTCGAGTTTTTAATCCTCGTTCAATCAAATCGTTTAACCAATAAAACTGGATTATTATAATATTTACCCGCGTGGGCATCACCGGAGGCGTCATTTTTTTTTCTTTTATTTCCATCTGTGTTTTTCATATATAATCTCGGCACGGCACACGTGCATGCCCTTTCCGACGCGTGCGCGTATATATTTTACATCATTAGCACGCTGCACTTACATATATCTCAACTACACATTAAATGCCATAATATTACGAGCGAGTACTGCTTTAAGCTCGCGGCCGCGTGGCAAGGTTGAATTATTTTTTCCACTCGCGCTTGCGCGACTCGACTCTCCGCGGCAAATGCATATTATTATTAAGTATAAGGTATATATCGGGCACGATATAATTACAAAATAATTAACCGCACTCGCGATTATTAATCATAATAAATTCGTGGGCAGTTCGTAATAGTGTTCTCGCCGCGCATGCGAGTCTTCCTGCTGAACCTGAGGTTCCGCCTGGTGCGCAAGGAGGCCGTGGAGACGATCGTCAAACGCGGCAAGGTCGGCGACTGGTTCCTGCTCTACATGCTGGGCGAAAATCTCGACACGGTGATCTATCGGGACGTGATGCACGAGCTGGCCCACAGGCTCGCGTCGAGGCATCATCACAGCGTGCCCGGGGTCAAAGGTGGCGAGCTCCAAGAGGCCTGATCCAGGTGAGAATCATTTTCGACTACTCATTGCTATTATATTATGACACGTCTCGTCTCTGTTGACGCCGCGAGCGAGGAAGATTAAAAACCGTGTACGGATTTCCTAATCCTGTACGTCGGGGGTACGTGTTATTAACACCTGCGCAGCGGAGGAGTAAGACAATTATATTATACACCGAAAATGACTTCTTTAGTCGGTGCGCTGTGTCTCACCGCACGTCTGCTTTGTTATTATCGTTATTCTTTTTTTTTTTAAATGACGCGCTCGTATAACGTTTCGTCATATTATAACACAGACAGACAGATAGATATATAATTGACGTATAATGGATCGCGTGCGTTTCGATATTTAAGCTTTGGCAGCAGCGGCGGCGGCGCCTCTACCTATATCTTTATTGTATCGTACCCTTTTATTTATTTTTTTTTGCTTCTTCTTCTTCCGCGTGTATATTATAGAGTAATCCGCGCTCGCGCCCCACCGACGCGATCTCTCGCAGCAATAATAATAACGAGAGAAAACATTGAAATTATATATAGAGATATATATACGTGCGTATTACTCGCGAGCTGGGCCCAATAAAATGGACGGGCCTTATATTACACACGTGTATATGTAATGTATGGCGGCCGATCGATTCGCGCGCGTGTAATTTACTTATATGCGCTGCTGCTGCTGCTCGAAAGATTACGGGGAATTGAATTTAATGACGGGAGGAAATTTCCCATGTATGCGCGCGTGTGTACGCGGTGCATTCGACCCTTGTATTACGCAACGCGGCCATATTGCCGCGCTTATTCGCCTGTGCATTTCGCGCGTATTGTTCAGTTCGCGATCGACAGATCGACTCGTGTTATGGGTCAAACGAGCGAATGTGTGCACGAGGACGTGTGTGTACCTACATCACTGCCGTAGAAATGCTCGATAATTTTTATAAGAAAAAGTTCGGTTGGAAGCGAGAACGCATACGAATCAGGACTGTTCAGCTTTGGTCGACATTTCATGGATACGTAATTTTTCGGGTTTCTGTAATGAGAATTGTCAGAAAATTTTTCCAAATAGGTGAATTAATTTAAAAACTGCGCTATGACTTATACCATTATTTTCAATTTACCGCTTGTAGATTTAAAGATGCACGGGTACTCGCCATGTAGCGGTGGAGGTTGCAAGTTCTATCATCGTATTTAAAGTGGTACAAAACTGATTAAAAAATTATCATTTTTGAATTATTGAAAGTACGCTTAATATTTTTAACAATTTTGATAAAAAAATCACTAAAAACAAACGAATTAATGGCAATATATTAAAAGATACTATTTTTAATCATTAATCCATCGTTAACATCGAGCACTTCTGCCAAGGTAAATAGAAGCAAAAATCGAGAAAATCGAGTAGAAAATGAATGTCGAAAACCGAATAGGTGGCCACGCCGTATCACCTACATAGAAGCCAATTTTCCAACCTCTCTCTCTCTCGAGCCAACCGTCTCTCTGCAGTCTCGATTAGGCCAGCTCCTCTCCACTCGGCCGGAAGATTAATTCCAACTTGGCGCGCAGGAGAAAGACAAAAATAATGGGAAAAGACAAAAAAGAAAAATACATAAGACTCGTGTCGAGCTTACAGCAGCAGCAGCAGCACACTGACTGGCTTTTGACGCGCGCCAGAGTCTCCCGCGACGCGAAATGTGTCTAATTTTACATGGAAACTTGCCGACGAGGTTTTTAGCGGTCACCGCCGTGGAACACACACACACAAGGGGTCACTGCTATATAATCGTGGTTTTATAACACGAGTTCGATCGCTCGTGTCACAGGTGTAAACGCCACTGATCGATTAGTATAATTCGTGCGCGCAAAAGTCCGATTCATCCGATTCATCGCTCGGTAAAAGCGATAAAAAAGCGCGACGTCGCGCGTATTTGGACGTTCTCGGAAGTAAAAGTGCCACCTTTACAACATAGCAGCAGCAGCAGCAGCAGCAGCAGCGATTCGCATTATTTATAAAATATTATATCGCGTGTACGCAGTGTTTTGGAATTTTACGACTGCCGTTTGAGCTCGAGCTTATGCATGTATTATACGCGGCATACACGGCGGCGATTAGTTAAAAAGCAAATGAAATTAAATTTACGCCCGCGCGCTGTATATATATTCTGGAGAATTGCATAAAGTCTGGATAATATTTTCTCTCTCTCTCCTACGCTCGAGCTCTTTCTCTCGCGCAATAGAATCATCTAAATAAAGCCCCGGGTAGAGAATCCCCAGCTCACTCGACTTATTTTTCTATACCATTTCTCCGTGCGGCCGCGTCCGCAGTAGTATGGAACGAGCCACCATCGCCGTCAGCTGCTGTTACTGCTGCATCGCACGGTAGTGTGCAGTTTTATTCGCAGCAGCAGCAGCATAATGAGAGCAAACGGCCTGATACTCTCCGCTGCTGCGGCTCATTGTTTTTATTTGCCCTTCGCGTGCAGTGCGCCGGGGGAAAATTAAAAATCTAATATAGCCACGCGCGCGCGAGTAATATGGGCAACGGTTAATAAGCCAACAACGTTAACGAGATAAGCCGCGAAAAAGGCTCAAGGTTGAAATATGGGAAACGTTCGAACACAGGTTTTTCGTGATTTTCCACGAAATAACGTCAATGTCCATAGACATTCGCGTAATTTGCGTTTGATAATTTCTCGTTTTAACCTTGACTTCTCGGTTTATAGCTGCTTTAAACGTGATTTGCGCTTTTCGGCCGGAGATTTTTCTCCTATTCCTCGTATATTCCGGAAGTCAAGAGCGAATCGCGCGCAGGTGGCGCGAAACGTTAATAGTACGCGCACGAGTACGCTCCAATGATGACGGCTTATAGCTACTACCTCAGCATATATAGTTATATATACCATTTGCCGAATGCCCGTTATTATTATCACGGGCATTAGCCGCACACGGGGCAACTCATCTTCGCCAGGAGGAGAGATGTATAATATGCGTGGGTGTGTTGTTACCCGACATTGTTTCTTGTCTAAAAAATAGACTGAACATGCCTTACTTTACGTACGTTGAGTAACATGATATTTTCAAATAAATTGAACTCGGTTATGGATTGGCGGCCCAATACTAACCTGGCCCACAATGTCGAATAAACTAAAAGAAAATTGAAAATATCATTTGAATTAACAAAAAAAAAATTAACTTTGGCACATCAACGTGTTCGATTGAAACAGCATATTCTAAATGCAAGCACACGTAAAAATTCAATTCGAAATTATAAATTAAATTCATTAATTTGTTTAAACTTTTATTTGTTGTGGAAAAATGTATTCAAGGAAAATTTCAGAATTCGTATTTTATTTTAATCAAAGGTATCTTATCTGATCACGAGCTTTTCAATTCCATCGACAGATGGCGTATTGTAAACTCGCAAGTAGGAAAACAATTTTCGATTCATAAATTCATATTGAAACGCAAGACAGTTGTATTCCTTATTTTTCTTTACTATATATATATCCTATATATACCACCTATACCTGCCACTATATATACCACCACGATGTCTGACGTGTTTATATCATTATATTTTATATATGGACGAAACACACACAAAAAAATGCATCAGGTATAACGTGTGACGACACAAAAGTGGTCGCGCACGAAACGACGCTCAAGCGATACAGAGAAAAAGTATCATCAGCATCAGTAGCTCGGCTGGAAGCGCCTCAGTCGCGCTCTTGTAAGGTATACAATAAATGAACAGCAACAACAACACGCACGATCATCGCGATTGTAATTGATCTCTCTCTCTCTTTCTATCTGTCTCTATCTCGTGAATCCCCCCCTTTAACCCCCCACTGTAACACACTCACATACCGACACGCCGTATACACCCCCCACGTAATAACCCCCCTTCTTGTCTGCCTTTAATCATTTTATTATATTTAACTATATATATCTGTAATAGTGAATCATTAGGCCGTAATTGTTACCGATGTACATTTGATATCAGCAAATTCCGATCACCACCGATTTATTAATGTATACCCTTTATCTATATCTATGTAACCAAGAGCACTCACATATATCAATAATTATTAAGCCTTCTATTGTATTAGTCTAATCTACCAATATATATTGATCGTCTAACATGTATTATGTATTTCTTTAATCATACGCAGCACAGAAAATACATACAAACACACATCTCTATGTCCTCAGTGCAATCTCTCATTTTTAGTGCGAATATATCAACGATCGATCCTCGAATCATTCAATTAGTCGTTAGAAAAATACATCGCATACATTGATTCGCCGATTGTACACAGATCTATGTTTACGTTACGATACGTCGACCCGCGACTACGTGGAATGGGACGCGACGGCGCGCCTCCCATTGCGGGATCCCAAAGTGAGAGAGGGTATATATAAATGTGGCCGTTTTTAATAGCCGCAGCAACAGTAACAATGGCTTTTAAAAGGTACCGGTTAGTATATACACACACGAGTAAAACGGCCCCGCGGTGCATTTACTTCGGGTGCTTTAGGATGCCCCGACCAGTCGTTAATTGCTCGTTCGAGTCTATTTTCTATCTCTCGTATATACAAAATTAACGCGCCACACACTGTACAACGGATTCGAGAGGCTCGTGTGTGTGTGCGGGCTTTTGTTACATAGGATCGCGACGTGCTTTTCTTAATTAGCTTCTAGCAGCGTCGCGGGGGGTGTCTTTTCTCTCTCTCGAGCCTCGGACAGAGATCCGGACACACACACAGATACACTCGTTGATCGCTGACTACACACAAAGAGCTATACACAACACATGGCGATTTTTACCTTAGCGCGCGGTACATTATAAATATAAAATATTATTACATACGGTCGAGAGGTCGGAGGGCGTCGCGCGCTTTACACACACAAAGTAGCTCCTTTATTTTTCATTATTATTATTATTATCTTCTCCCTCTCTCACACCTATTTACACACACAAAAGACACACGACGATAATTGGAGAAAATGCTGAAATACAACAGTAAAAAAAAGCAAAAAACAAAAAAAGATTGTATATAATTTATAACCTTGTGCAATAAAGCTCGGCCTGCTCGACAGCCCACTCATGCTCGTCGTGGCTTATCGCTAGTGCGGCCAGCGCTAGCGTCCCGTCGACGATGGCTAATCGGATAGTGTCGTCAGTATGTACCATAAATACACCATCACCATAATAATAATAAATAAATATATTCTCTGTCTCTCTCTACTACTACTGCTATCTCACTCTCTCACTCTGTCGAGAATGTGTCAATTTTTTTAGAGCTGCATATTAAAAAAAATAATAAACGCCATCACTCATCAATTGTTTCATCAACATCATCATCATCATCGTCATTATAATCATCAGCATCGGCATTGTCCATTATCTATTAATAAACCAAAATTATACAAGAACGCAGCTACTGCATAACCCCGTACATATGTATAATTACTTGTATATTTGAATGCGAGCACAATACACGTTGACGTATATCTCTAATTTTGGACGAGAACTTCAAGATTATAATTGTATAATGAACCCACACACGTATTATATATCAGCTGAGTTAGTTTCATTACCCATAGGTTGCGTAATTGATTATTATCCCCTTAGTTGTTAACGGTATTATTGATATAATATACCCAAATCGCACTGATTTCGATACATCGATTTTATCGAGTGTTTATTTTTTAATGAATCGATGAAACCGATGAGATCGAGATACTATAATATGCACCTGTAATAGAGTATGATATACAATA